GTCAAAGGAGAATGACACAGGCATTTTAAAGAAGCGAAACGGAAATATATTAGCAATGTAGAAACTAGCAGAATAATGACGTAATTAGCTCGCCAGAGGTATTTATACCAAAATAGGTGCGATTCTAGAAAGAAGCTATGATTCGTTAATATTAGTTTTAGTTGCCCTTTTCCAATAGCTTTATATAACGTAGAAAGATCTCGAATTTTGGAGAACAGATGAATTTAGAGGGAGATTACCAAATCTAGAATATTAATTTTGAGGTCGTCAGTTATTTTTAAAGCAGCTGTCTTATTTTGTTATATCTTACACACACATATATATATATATAATTTATTATTAGAAAATATTTTCATATACAATCTCCAAGGAACAGAAATTTAATTTAAATCATAAAAAGTATTGGCGGTCAATATCATAAAAATATTACTAGTCAGTATTTTAAGTGGTATTTTAAATTAGTATTTTCCAGACCTCTATTGCAGTAAAAACCATAAAAATCTGTAAAGAAAAATGCCGAATTGCAAAAATACCAAAAAACAAGAGTAAAAATTTTAAGTATTGAAAAATTAGTTATTGTCATCGACGGCAGATTAATTGACTTGTCAAGGGGAGAAAACCATACTACTATCAATTAATAACAATTAAATTAAGTGAGAGTGTTTCGACGTTTTTTTTTAAGTAAGGGCGAAATTATTATTCTGCTAGAGCCAGATCATAACTTACAAACAGTACTCAACGAACCTTCATAAACAAAATCAAAGTAGTAAGATAATCTTTTAAATTTAAGTTACTTATGAAGAATATATCTAAACGAGATCCTTACTTTAAAAGAAATATTTCCCGACATTCTCATTTTCAAACTCAAATTTAAAAGTAAAAACAAAAGTTATGGTATATAAAAAGTTTTCAGATTATAAATTATTGGTTTAATTATTTTGAAGCTATAGCGCAGGTTATAGGCTTATTAACTTACTCATAATTACTTATCATATCAAACAGCGCCCCTAATACATTATATAGAAATAATTCAGTAAAATACACAATAATAACTTAGCACTGCATACGTACATACATACATACTTACACATATATGTATATATCACATGAAATGGTGCCCTAAATGCATTATGCAGAGATAATTCAGAAACATACACGATAATAATTTAATACAACATATATGTTGCATTAAGTTATCACCGTGTATTTTTCTGAATTATCTGGACATAAGGTATTTACAACAGCGTTTGATATGAACCTACCTTATTACTGCAAGGTCACCATTTCAATGGCTTTTTACTCAAGGAGTTTCCCCCCCCCCGATTTGAGTGTTCTAACGCCGTTTTGATCATCTTATCATTTTCGGTCAACTTGGGTGAGGAAGGCAAGTCAGCTTGGTAAAGTGTGAAGGAGGAGCTTTTAAAGCTCATTTAAATTAGTTCAACTTTGAGCTCAAGACACGAGGACGAACGTGATTGCTCCGCTTGACAGCGTTTTCCGTTGAAATCAGTTTCATGTACTGACTACTTTACACTTGAAATTTTGAATGACATTATCTCGTAGACCGTGTATTTATTTGTTTTATTCAATAAATAGTGAAGTTTATCTCAAAAAGGATGAGTAAATTTTATTTATTTTATCAGAGACTAGCTACGTTCTATGTAACTCGTTCGAGATCTTGTCGCTTAATCAGGGAAAATTCCAGGTCGGAGGGACTCATCTATGACATAACTAATTGCAAAATATGGTTTACGAAGAAAATTGAATTCAGTACGTAATATTAGTTTCATTTTTACTTTAAAACAAGGAAACACGTATCCTTTATTTGACTACTGTGTTTCTTAAGACAATATTTCTTTACGCTTTTAGGAATTTTGTATTATTCTCCATACTACAATTTTAGGGAAAATTTTAGGCCACATGTAATTACTCTTATCAAAAGCAGATAAGTTAATCAACAACCTTAATTTCATTTGGATTGGATCGCCTAATACCTAATACCTAATAGTCTCTGGTGTATCAGTATACAAGTATTGGGATTTTAACCAGTTCGTTTTGCATAGGCCAATTTCCTATGTAAATAAATCAAGGTGCGAACACACCCAAAGACGAAGATACTGCGGCCGTGGAAAGGGAAATCAAGGTTTTGTGAAAGCAATTAAGTTGCATGAGGAGAACGAACTTGTACAATATCTTACTAGTAGAAATTCACAATTTTATAATATGAGTATGTACGTTGAGTAGTAATAATGTGAATGATATAAATTATTGAATTTTTCAAATTCTTGAATAATTAAAATTTTTGGCAAAATTCTGGTAAATGCTGATTAAGTTTGTAACTGAGAGAATTTCAGGTCGAGTCTTGAGCACATATGGGTTAAATTGGAGAAATCCTATTGTGAGAGGCAGTTGACACTCAAAATATTAATAACGATAATAAGCATTCTAAGAATAATATAAAAAATATTAGCAGAGGCCATAGCCTGCAGGGCCAGGAACAAAGTCTATATCTTTGCAAGTATTCATATATATGACATAACACATGTTTTCATTTTAAATTGCGAACAAGTTTTTTCCGTTTGATTTCAGCGGGAATCGAACTCTTGAGGTTGAAATCCACAGCTTGACATGCTAACCACTATACTGTGTACAGCTAATCGCAAATCGGAAATTTAGTTTTAAGGCAGAGACCATAATTGGCTCCACAAATGGTATACCCTGTCAGTAAGTATAGTATAACTTTGTCTGTAAGTAGTAAGTTTCAGGCTTCCCTGCCTCGCGAGACTGAACCGCGTTTACGGATCCACTCTCCCTTCAGAATAAGGCGCGGAGGTTCAACCTCCGCTCACCAGAGGTCACCGCTCAACCACCGCTTGAGCTCACCAGAGGGCAGTGGTCGTTAATTTGCTACCTACCAGTCGCTCGGGCTGCCTGTCGCAGTGGGGACATTACCCAGCGAACCCGGGGACGCTACCTCCCGAGCTACTAGAGCCACGCCGCGCTAGGAAGTGCCAGACCACCGGGCCGGCTGATAAGTGACCTTTCCGGGGCCTTCAGAACCACCAAGTTCATAAATTTTATACCCTCGTGGCCGAGACTGCCTAGGTACAGATTCTAGCCAGTAGCTTCGCAGAGTTCTCTAGGTCGACCCCCCGGGGGATGTCTGTAAGTACTTTAAAATAATTAATGAATAAAATAATAGTGAAATTATAATACATATATACATTTATCAATTAATATTATGGTGAAAGATCTAGGTCGGTTCACTACACTCTGAACAGTAGAATCGTAATTAATTATTTCACGTAAGTGAGAATAGAAGGAATTTTCAATTTTTTTCACAAAAAAATTGTGTGAATCCGTAAGTATTTGCTCCGCAATTGGAAGAATTAAGTCCGTGTGAATAATAGTGTTGCGAACGTACCAAGGGGCGTTTACCATACCACGTAGAATTCTGTTCTGAAGAATTTCAGTTTTCTTTCGTTTTGGTTTTAAGGCTGTGACCCAAGCCGAGGCAGCGTAAAGAGAGACTGGCTGAATAAAAGTGAGATATAAAGTTCTTTTCACTTTAAAGCTGAGTTTTGATTTCCTGCCGATAAGATTATATAAGGCGATAAATGCTCTGTTAAGTTAATCTGTTATGCGAACTTTAAACGTCAGTCTACTGTCAATAGTAACCCCAACGTACTTGTAAGAATCCGAAACAGGGATAACTTCATTATCAATAGAAATATTTGTATTAAAATGCATTTATTTTTTTATTCTTCTGTATAAAACAATTCTGCATTTAGATGTATTTAATTTTATCTTCTATAGCCGACACCAGATAGCGACTACGTTAACGTGTAGCTGAAAATTGTTGATAGCTAATTGCGGGCTTTTTGACTTTGAAAGTATTACGATATCGTCTGCATACTTTAATAATCTTGAATATAAGGGGATGCGGAGATCATGTATGTAAATTACCAAAAGGTTTGGGCCTAAAGCTCACCCTTGGGGTTACGCCACTGTGTAGAACATCCTAAGCTTCTTCTGTTGAACAGTACTTCTACAGTAATCCATTGTGCCATATCTTGTCGAATGCTTTGTCGAAATCAAAAAAGCATGCGGACACTCCAACTTTGTGAAAAAGTGTATGAGAAATATATTCAATCAGGATTAATTTCAGATAAGGATTTGATGCATTGTGCTGTGTAATTTTACAAATCCAAATTGAGATGTGTCAATCAAATCCAATCTCTCCAGGTGATCATTCAATCTTCGGTTGATAGATGTTTCAAAAAATTTTCCAACTGTAGGTAGGAAGCTAGTGAGTCGGTAACTAAAGGTCGGAGCTTTCTCTGACGTGATGACAATTCTGTGCTTCCACTAGGAGGGGAAATAACAATTACGGATACAAGCATTAAATATATTAGCCAGGAGTACAAAACTTGTACTATTGCCTGGTTACTAATTCCATCATAACCTTTAGATTTTTTGACTTTTAACTATTTGACAATTTGCTGAATTTCTCCTGGTGAAACGCTTGAAATAAAATTGATGTTTTCTCTGTCATCCAGATGCAAAACAGTTGAGTTAATTTCTTCTTCATGCTATAAATCAAAAGGTGAATTAGGTTGAAAGGTAATTTCTAGCGCGTTAGCTAAAACATTAGCTATGTCAGCTTCAGAGTGATATATAGTAATCATGTGATTGAAAAGAGGTGATTTGTTCGCTCCTTCTGCATAGAGTTTGCAATTTTCCATTAAGTGTCTGGGTCTGCTTCTATATTATCAATAATTTGTTCCCATCAGTCCTTACGGTAATTATGAATATGAGTGGAAATTTTACAGGTGTGGTAGTTTATTTCATGCTTAGTAGCAGGTAAGTAAATGTGGTAGTTTATTTCATACTTAGTAGCAGGTATGTAAAAGTATTTGCCGAAGAATGGGAAGGCGCTGTTCTAGCTCTGGTGGCAATGTGAACGAAAATATTCCTTACAGTTGGCAACAAGAGAATTAGAGCGGGCTATTCTGTTTTTCGTTTCAATGTTAATGTAAATTGTTCTTAAATATTTGAATTTTTCTTAATTGTATCATTTATTTAGAATGTTACTTCTTCCATTCTTGAATTGTCGACAAATTGGAGTGACTTCTCAAGGTACCCATGCATGTATGTTGGACAGTTGTAATTTCAATTTAGCTATTAGTATTTTTCAAAATGAGGAGTTATTTTAAAAACATGATCTGTACATTTAAATGAAATTTTATTTGGTTGTTTAATTTTTATTAATAAAATATCATTATTGTTTATTATATTTCATATGAAATGTTATGTTAAATTTTATATGAAATGCTAAATGTAAGCCAATACTTTTTGCTTACAATTATAATACTTTTTGCTTTCATTTGTTTACATTTTTTCTTATTTCACATGAAGTGTTAAATGTAAGCCAATACGTTTTCAATGAATTGTAGTGCTGAATTTAAGCATTACAGTTTAACAAATGTATGCTAATATATTTAAGACTTAGTTTCCTGTTTAAAATATTTACTTAAAAAAATCTTTTGCAATTTGAACTTCTCTCTTTTTGTTTTTAAACTTCATTTTAATTAGAGTTTTGAAACTTTTCTTGAAATATTTGAATCATTGTAGATTGTACATTTGCTGTGTATGGATAAAATAAAAGTAATGATTTCTAATACATTTTCAATTTTGTATTTAGAAATTTTTCTTAAATAACCAGATAACTCTAAATAGTTTTTCTTTTCTGACTAAATTATTGAAATTGTTCTTCTGATATGCGATTTGTTATTTGTAGCTTATAACAGATTGAATTCAGACAATCTTCTATCCAGACTTGTTTGCTTAAGAAAGGATGTCTATACTATAACTGGAGAAGTAGGAAATCTCAGTTTTTTCTTATTAATTTTTATATTTACTTTCATTTTCATTAATGTATGAGAAAGTTTTGCAATATAATTGTAAATAATATGAAAAGAATGCATTTAATAATAGTATTTGCAGTAGGAATAAAGAAATAAGGATACTTTCAGATTATCCTTATCTCCAGTTTCATAATTTGGAAGAATTATATTTTTCATGCGTTTTGCAGTACATATAAGATGATGTATTCGAGTAGATGTGGATTTACATGCTCTATTAAACCATTGTTTCACTGAGCAATATCTGCCGGGTGTAAAAAATGTAAATATTGGCTGTATAATATTTTTTTTTTTTTTTCCCCCCTCAAAATTTTTTCTGGTAAAAGTTTACAATTGGGTGCCTCTTGTTTTTTGGCAATTCTTTTTTGATTCCAAGATCAGCACCAGGAAGGCACAATTTCAAGATAGCCATTAGACAAAATCGAAATAAAAAGTCAAAGAATTGCACAAACTGTGTCCATGTATACATCGATCTATTTTCACTTAAAAAAATCAAAGAATTGCACAAACTAGGTATTGTGAACTGCCTTAACTTTGTCTATGTACACATCAATCTATTTTCATTAAAAAAAATCAAGAAGCTAAAATAAGTTAAAACTATCATGGTAACCAAAAATGAGGTTTCATTGCCAAAATTTAACAAAATTTGTCGCTTATCGAATAGGCACCCAATTCTACACTAGAGCCTTTTTTATTTCTCAGAAAATGCTTTTTTTATTATTATATACGAACAGAATAGGGGGCTAATCTTTGGAATATGGTAACACGTAGTTTGGCGACATTTTGGTAAGGCGATAAAGATTACTAGCAGGCGAAAATTTTGCGACCAACCCTGCTACAGCAACCTGCTAGTTTTTTTTTTTTTGGATTCCATTTTGTTTTCACGAAGTAAAGGCATGTTTTTTTTTTTTTTTTTTTTTTTTAAACTCAGCATTTTTATACAACATTCTGCTAGCCGAATTACGCTTAATGCTAGAACTTTTATGGAACAAAAGTGCTTAATCATGATGGAAGATTACGTGTGAAATTGAGAGAAAGTGCAGAATCGCCCACTGCTTGCCGTGTTTTTAAGAATTGCACATACACGGTATCATCCATGTACACGTCGACCTATTTTCACTTAAAAAAAAATTCTAGAATTGCACAAAAATGGCATTGCTCACACTCTTGACTTTATCCATGTACACTGCTAAAGTCCTAGCTAGTAACCTCTTTCAGTTCAATCCTAGTATCCGGTGCACAAGGGATTTGGCGACTTTATGATGAGCAGTAAACGGGACATATACGATGAATAGTTAAATGGGTCATTTTGGTGTTGGCGATAATTTCAAAATCGTGCCAAGACTGCACCGTATACTAGGATTTTACCCCTTTATCGCCTTACCAAAATGTAGCCAAAATACCGGTTACCATATTCCAAAGATTAGCAAAAAAAAAAAAAAGAACCTTTAACTTCGTGAAAACAAAATGGCATCCAAACAAAAACTAGCTGGGTTGGTCATGAAATTTTCGCCAAAAAAATCACCAAGTTACCATAATCCAAAGATTAACCGAATAGGGTTATAGTGTAGAAGATGGTGCCCATCGGATTAGTGCCAAACATTAATGCTATTACCAGTTTTCTGGTAACCCTGAATAGACTTCGGTGAATCTTTACATTATGGTAACTTGGCGATTGTTTGGCGAAAATTTGGTGACCAACCCTGCTACAGCAAACCTGCTAGTTTTGTTTTGGACGCCATTTTGTTTCATGAAGTAAAGGCATTTTTTTTTTTTTTTTTACTCAACATTTTTTCCAACAATCTGCTAGCCGAATTACGCTTATACTAGAACTTTTATGGAACAAAAATGCTTAATCATGACAAAGATTAGGCACGAAATTGGGAGAAAGTGCAGAATTGCAAATTGCTTGCCACGTTTTTTAAGAATTGCACATACACGGTATCCATGTACACATCGACCTATTTTACTTAAAAATAATCCCAGAATTGCACAAAAATGGCATTGCGCACACTCTTGACTTTATCTATGTACACATCGACCTATTTTCACTTAAAAAGTCAAAGAAAATTGACAAAAATCCAATTCTTCTCTTTTAAAAAGGCGCTAAACAAATAAGTGGGTGATTCTGCACTTTAGCAGTGAAATTCTTTCTAAGTGCTTATTAGCTAAAATCACGACCAGAATTTTCCGGAAAATGTCGCATTACATATCTCATGATCTCTCATTTCTCTGAGACAAAATAATCTGTGATTCGAACTGTGTACTTCTCAGATTATTGCTAGTAACCTTTATCACCTTACCAAAATGTCGCCAAACTACCTGTTACCATATTCAAAAGATTAGCCTAGGCTTCTGTTTCTGGCACCATCTCCTTAATTGCAATGGTAGTAATTTTTTGTGACCCAACTTGTGTATTTCTTACTTCGTAAGTTTAATCTGATTGGATCCTCCGAGTTTAGCGATGAGGTGTGATACGTAAAAGTAGTACACATTTAATGTGCCCTATGTGTATCACATAGACCTCTTTTAGTAGTTGCGTGTGGGGATATTTTTTAAAATTTAACCACTGTTCATTCGCACTTAGCAGCTGAAAAAGGTAGTTAAAAAACTATCAAAACTAGTACTGCAAAGAGTTTTTAAAAATTTACGCTGATTCTTAATGTTGGACTTTGTTTTTGAAATAAAAGGTATTTTGGTACTTACGTATTATCGCAACCAGGTTGGCGCGATTTGTAAGTTTGAGTAAAAAAGTATGAATAGAAAGAAAATGTACATTTATTAATTACAGATAATTTTTAATACAGTTTTTGGTTGATCTTACATTACGGTAACTTGGCGATTTTTTTGGCGAAATTTGGCGACCAACTCCCCTACAGCAACCCTCTATTTTTTTTTCCCCGCCGCCATTTTGTCTTCACGAAGTAAAGACATGTTTCTTTTCTTCTTATCTACTGAACACTTCTTTCCAAACAACATCTACTAGCCGAATTACACTTATGCTAGAAATTTTATCAAACAAAACTGCTTAATCATGACAAATATTCACTGCAAAATTCAGAAAAAGTGCACAATACCATACTCCTTCACGCGTTTTTCAAAATAACACATACACATAAACCATGTACACGCCGACTTATTTTTACTTAAAAAAACATCCCAGAATTGCACAAAAATGGCATTGCGCACACTCTTCACTATATCCATGTACACTGCTTTTTTCTCATAAATTCGAAAAATTTCACGAAAATACATGACAATTTTCTCAATCTTTAAAACCCGGTAAAAAGAACATATATGAAATTACCTGATCGCGAAAAAGTATTTACCCTTTCCAAATATGAACATTTCCACATATAAAATAAATAAAATATCCAAAAACTTTTACCTCTAAATCATCTATTACATTATACACGTCACCAACGAATTCATACATGAAGCATTACAAATATTTAGTATCAAATATTTAAATTATTTCCATGCACGTTTATTTCAACTTAAACGTAAACCAAATTCCTACAAGCATAAAAATTCACAAAATAACTATCATTTCATTAAAATATCACTGAACCATGTACACGTCGACTTATTTTTTACTTAAAAAAACATCCCAGAATTGCACAAAAATGGCATTGCGCACACTCTTCACTATATCCATGTACACTGCTTTTATCTCATAAATTAAAAAATTTCACGAAAATACATGACAATTTTCTCAATCTTTAAACCCGGTAAAAAGAACATATATGAAATTACATGATCGCGAAAAAGTATTTACCCTTTACAAATATGAACATTTCCACATATAAAATAAATAAAATATCCAAAAACTTTTACCTCTAAATCATCTATTACATTATACACGTCACCAACGAATTCATACATGAAGCATTACAAATTTATTATCAAATACTTAAATTATTTCCATGCACATTTATTCAACTTAAACATACACCAAATTCCTACAAGTATAAAATTCACAAAATAACTATCATTTCATTAAAATATAATTAAATTCAAAAACACACCACTTAAAATATACATGAGCACATACATTCAATTAATAAAAATTACCTTACAATCCTAATTACTTTAAACTAAATCATTGCTAATAACAATTTTCCCAATAATACCAAATTCCTTTCCACCTTACATTTCCAACAATGCATAAAAATAATTAAAGATACTAACTTACCTAATCTCCTTCAGAATCTTCATAACGTGGTGGATACACTTTTCTTCATTCTCTTTCAGAATCTTTAAAATCATACTTATCTTTCAAAGCAAGATACCAGGTAAAATAAATAACATAATAAAACATGTTTATTTCTCTCTCACACAACCTTAAAAAACATTTCTTACTATCCTTTTCAATACCACTAAATACCCATTTCGAATTCACTTTACTTACGGCCATGGGATCCAAAAATTCACAAACACTATTTCACACAACACAGAATAAAGCCAAATACAAAATTTCCAGATTTTTTCCCGATTTCCCCCCTTTTCCGATTAAAGAACCGTAATTCGTCCATTAATATCACATGACATATCCCATGATCTCGCATTTCCCCCACACAAAATAATGCGTAATCGGAACTCAGTACTGCTCACATTATTACCAAAGTCCCAGGTAGTAACCTTTATCGCCTCCAAAATGTCGCCAAACTACCAGTTACCGTAATGTAAAGATCAACCCAGTTGGTTATATTATTTTGTTTTAAAATATAAAATAGCAATTAAACCCTTCCGGTTTCGAATTTGAATAAGTTGCAGAATTATTTTTTCGGCGGAAATCTTTTGGCTATTGCTTTTAGTACTGATTGAAAACCGTCTTCGCCATTAACAGCTTGAGCTTGGCGCCATATAAAATTTGATAAGGTATGAGTAAAGATGATGATGGGCTGTTCCTCTCTTTTTTTTGTTGCGCCATTTGGCTGAGCCCCACATGCGCTCTACATGTTGTGTGTGAACGCCCGTGTTGAGATCCACAAAGTTATATTTGTGATTAACAGTTCCATGCAGAAATCCAGCATTTTCGAATTCACTTGTATTGTATCCTTTCCAGCAATCCGAATAAATGATGCTTCCTTCCTTGATATTTTCACAAATTTTTTCCACGAGGGTAACGGCGCTTCTGTTAGGTACAGTAACCAAAAAAGTAATTCTGCAAAAAATTAATTAAAGTATTTCAGGGCATTCAATCTAACCAGTAAGAAAAATAATTTCTTTACGAAAAACTACGCATAACACGTAGGGTTGCCATAAGTAGGGTCCCCAGATTTGGTGATTTATGCGAATTTTGGCCTGGTTGCGTTAATACGTAAGTACCGGTATTTTAAATAAATTAAAAATTTTGCTTACTAAATATTTTTAAAAATATGCATAAATAATAATAGTAATATTGCAAAAGGAAAAGGATTTAAATATATATTTATTTTCTATCTGCAATCTAAAGTTTGGTACCTGCAAAACATTTTTCGGCTACACTTTGTAATACAAATATCTACAGCTAAATTTAAAATTGTTATTCGATGTAATTTTTGATGGTCTAAATACGGTATTGTTGGAAACTAATTATGCTGAACAATCGTAACTGCAAAATGTCTTGCATCTATTTAAAAAAAAATTATCAGATGCCCATGATGTTAAATGAAATTCACGTGTTTCACATTGTTTGCAAGACAGTACACACCTGTGAGAAATTCTAGGCTTATTGTATCTTGTTTTAAATTTTATCGCATAGCACTGAAATATTAACTTGCAGCCAGAAATTTCAACACAAATATTGTATGTAAAATATCAGTTTATGTAAAAATAGTTTATCAATCCTTCTAGCATATGTAAAAAAAGCAACACTAAAAGTGGAATGATAATTTTTCTATTTTTCTTTGTTTTTACCTGTTAAGAGTTTTCTTTTTTTACATACAGTTTGTTAAAAAATGTGATTTCTGATATAAAAAATAAGTTTTCAAAGAGTGTTTTAAAATTTGTTAAGCTATTCCAACTCTAAAAATAATTGGAACTTTATTTATTAATTTTATTTAGATATTTTAAGGTACTTTCTGATTATCTCCCCTCCAATTTTAAGTGTAAAAGCTGCTGTGTTTTTGATGAATTATTTTAGTGCATGTGTAACAGCAGAAATTTATATATGCCTATAACATACATTTGTATTTTGTGCTTTGTGTTTAATTTATATATAATACAGTCAAAAGTCGTTAATTCGGACACCCATAATCCGGATCTCAAAGCTACAAAATTTCTTACATGCGTCGCGTTTACATGTGCGCGTAAGACCTTTATGGCTGCGAATATGTGTGTGCATAAAACGTTTACGCATGCGCGTTTAATGTATAACGGACGGTATAAGCTAAACTAAAATTATCTAATTCAGTTAATGTTGCAGATTGCGTTGTTCCTTAATCTTCGAATTGGATCCGGCTTATTATTTTTTGCAGACTGTTAGAGCAATTTTATAAAAGTAAGCTTGACCTTTCAATTATATCAAATAGAATTTCCGATATATATTTGCTAATATGTAAAGGATCTAAAGCAAAAGTATGTTTTGAAATCCTAAACCTGTTTATCAATTTCACACTCATCGGCGGGGGGAACGCCGCGGCACGCAATGAATTGGAAGTTGATCTGTCAGCACTATCCTTATCTTCAGAGCAGATGTTTTTATTTTATTTGGCTTATAATTCCTTACTAAATGTAGTATTTCATCTCGATGTACTCCGTCATTGATATGATTTAAAACAAGTTCCTCCTCATTATAATTCGCTTCCGATAGTGAAGAAAGTGACAGAGGTTATTGAAAACGAAAAAATTTCGATTGACAAATTAGTCGGTATTCTCGACACAGCAATTATAGGACTTGAACAGTGGAACTTTGTAACTAAACAAGAAATTATGTCGGTTGATCTTTACAACATGGTAACTGGTAGTTTGGCGACATTTTGGAGGCGATAAAGGTTACTACCTGGGACTTTGGTAATAATGTGAGCAGTACTGAGTTCCGATTACGCATTATTTTGTGTGAGGGAAATGAGAGATCATGAGATATGTCATGTGATATTAATGGACGAATTACGGTTCTTTAATCGGAAAAGGGGGAAATTCGGGAAAAAATATCTGGTTCTTTAAATTTTGTATTTGGTTTATTCTGTGTTGTGTGAAACAGTGTTCGTGAATTTTTGGATCCCATGGCCGTAACTAAGGAAAAGTTTATCGGACACGTAATCAAGATTCTGAAGAAGATGAGGTAAGTTTAGTATTTTTAATTATTTGAGGATATTATTTTTATGCATTGTTCTAAATGTAAGGTGGAAGTAAAGGAATTTGGTATTATTGGGAAAATTGTTATTAGCATGATTTAGTTTAAAGTATTAGGATTGTAAGGTAATTTTTTATTAATTTAATGTATGTGCTCATTTATATTTTAAGTAGTGTTTTTGAATTTAATTATATTTTAATTAAATGATACTTATTTTGTGAATTTTATGTTTGTAGGAATTTGGTATACGTTTCAGTTGAAGTAAACGTGCATGGAAATAATTTAAATATCTGACACTAAGTATTGGTAATGGTTGCTGTATGAATACGTTGGTGACGTTTATAATATAATAGATGATTTAGAGGTAAAAGTTTTTGGATATTTTATTTATTTTATATGTGGAAATGTTCATATTTGGAAAGGGTAAATACTTTTTCGCGATCAGGTAATTTCATATATGTTCTTTTTACTGGGTTTAAAGATTGAGAAAATTGTCATGTATTTTCGTGAAATTTTTCTAATTTATGAGAAAAAAGCAGTGTACATGGATATAGTGAAGAGTTTGCGCAATGCCATTTTTTTGCAATTCTGGGATGTTTTTTAAGTAAAAATAAGTCGACGTGTACATGGTTTAGTGATATTTTAATTAAATGATAGTTATTTTGTGAATTTTATGTTTGTAGGAATTTGGTATACGTTTAAGTTGAAGTAAACGTGCATGGAAATAATTTAAATATTTGATACTAAGTATTTGTAATGCTTGCGGTATGAATTCATTGGTGACGTGTATAATGTAATAGATGATTTAGAGGTAAAAGTTTTTGGATATTTTATTTATTTTATATGTGGAAATGTTCATATTTGGAAAGGGTAAATACTTTTTCGTGATCAGGTAATTTCATATATGTTTCTTTTTACCGGGTTTAAAGATTGAGGAAATTGTCATGTATTTTCGTGAAATTTTTCGAATTTATGAGAAAAAAGCAGTGTACATGGATATAGTGAAGAGTGTGCGCAATGCCATTTTTGTGCAATTCTGGGATGTTTTTTAAGTAAAAATAAGTCTCGGCTGTACATGGTTTATGTGTATGTGTTATTTTGAAAAACGCATGAGGAGTATGGTATTGTGCACTTTTTCTCAATTTTGCAGTGAATATTTGTCATGATTAAGCAGTTTTGTTAGATAAAATTTCTAGCATAAGTGTAATTCCATTAGTAGATTGTTGGAAGAAGTGTTCAGTAGATAAAAAGAAAAGAAACATGTCTTTACTTCGTGAAGACAAAATGGCGGCGGGAAAAAAAAAAAAAAAAAGTAGAGGGTTGCTGTAGGAGAGTTGGTCGCCAAATTTTCGCCAAAAAAACGCCAAGTTACCATAATGTAAAGATCAACCATTATGTCTGTTTAAAAGAATTAAAAATGAAGTATTATCACATGAAACGAAGCAACTTAAACAACTTACATTGAAAGAAATGTTTAATAAAGCAAACAAATAAATATTAAGCTTTTTCTTTTTGTAAATTTTGATACCCTTTAGATCATAATTATTCTTTATTTCATAAATTACGGTTTCATATTTTTAATTTTGTAATTTCTGCATGCCATTATACCAGATTTAAACTGATGATCTATAATCCGGAATCGCCGAAGTCCCAACGAGTCCGGATTAACGACTTTTGACTGTATCTGTAATTTAAATTGTACACAATAGTTATTTGAAACTCTATTTGCTGTCTGTAAAAATGTAAACAGTTGCCAAATAGATTTTTCCCCCTCTTGTAAAATTTCTTGTTTTTCTGAAAATGCTTCTGTTTTGTTATGTAAGAACATAGCTGTACCTATAAGCTCTAAAGATAGCCAAACAAATGTTTTTTGTTAATGAGATGACAACTTTTCAAAGGGTTTGTGGAGAATTAGAAAGTATCTTTTTTAATATCATAAAATTTAAAATTTCTTTGTAAAATATGTATATTAATAATGTGATCATTTTATAGGAATCCGAAGTTCCACCTTTTGCTTGCAAATTTAGGAAAGGTATAGTTCTAATATTTTTTTCTTCTTCTTCTTCTTTTTTTTTGGGGGGGGGGTTAATATTTGAATTTTTTCAATTTCGAAGATATTTGAAAAAAATCAAGTATTCAAGTCTGAGACATTTGAGGCCCGGTGGTGCAGTGGCTAGAGCATCGCGCAGCAGCACCACAGGTTCGGGGTTTGAACCCCAGGCTGGGCAAGGTCGACTCAGCCTTTCATCCATTGATTTCTATCCCTTGGGTAGATAAAATGAGTACCAAGTTCGCTTGGGGACTAAACACTGGGGGTCCTGCGACAAGTTGACCAGGGCATATGGTTACGCACCCCGGGGCCCACTGTCAAGAAAGCAGATTTCGGGGCTATGCAGGCCTTGGCCCATTAGGACTGTTTGCGCCACTGAGTTTATTTTAGTTTGAGATATTTGTCTTAGAAAATAGCATCATGAAAGGGTTTATATATATTAATTCTGCAAATCTTTTAATGAATGAAATCCTTTTCCTAAAATAGAAGTATTTGAGATTGTATAGCTTTTAATTATCTGAACATGTTAAAATAAACCTAATTCCCTTGAATTTTTTTTTTAAAGGATAATGATTTCATTATTTTTTTGCTTTTAAATGAAGAAAATAAGATCATCTTAAATTTGATTAACTTTAAAAAATTTACTTGATGAAATTCAAAAAGTTTATAATCATAACTGTAAAGGACTCAAAATATATTTTACGAGTTATGGTAAAATGTATAGTAATAAAATTTTTTGAATGTTTTGAAAGCAGCTATATCTGCTATTCACTTGAGAATCATGCATATTATTACTATATCAAAATCCCATTTTTATATGTATAATGAAATGTGATATTAAATATTGGTACTATTTGAAAATTATTTTTAATTATTCCTGATATTAAGTATATCACAGAAAAAACATTATTGTTGATAATTAATGATTGAAAATTGAATATCGGAATAGCTAGAAGCATTCAGTATTCATGGAATCCTAGGATAGCCATTAATCAACAGAATGCAAAAATAATCTATGTAAATATAATTTTAGAAAAAAAATATGCAATTAAATGTTGTATTACATAATTAAATTTACTTAACATAAAAGTAAAAAGCATGGAAGGAATATGATAATTCAAGTTTGATTTCTGGTCTAAATTACTTTTTTTTAGTATTTGGCAATTTATTTGTTTTAGTTTATCATTTTATTTTTCTGTATGTAAAACATTCAATTCTTAGAAAATTGATTATGGATAATTCCCCCCCTTCTGTAACATTCTTATATTGTTTTAGGTAGGTTACTTTATTTGCCAATGCGATGTTGATTTGAATCTCGGTGGCTTTTATTTTTTTTCCTCTTTTTTTTTTTTAATTGAAGGATTTGATGATATGGGATATAATAATCAGACAAATAAATAAGAAAATACTGCAGTAAAGGAACAAATTTATAAATTCTGACATGCAAACATATATGTCACCAGGCCTTTTGTGCACAGTTACGTTAACTGTATTTCGAGAATAATGTTGCAATTTTTTTTTACAATAATATTTCTTTCCTTAATCCTGCTTTTTCTGTTGAAGATAAATTGAAAATCTAGGTCTTAAAGAAGGGTGCAGACAATGAAGTCTAGGTCTTAAAGACTGGTATTTATTATTGAAAATCTAGATCTTAAAGAAGGGTGCAAACAATGTAAAGAAGGGTACAGATTCATTAAAATAAGTTGGATAAGAATTAGCTAGCTAATGTTAGCTGGAAGATAGAAAGCATGAAAAAAAGATAATTTGTATTACCAGACCAATTATTGATTAATATTAATAACTGATTTTAATCTAACAACAGTTTTCGTTTTCTTTGTTATAAATGGGAGATACTATAAAGAATACTATTCATTATTAAATCTTGGTCATTCCTTTACTTTAAAAAATACAGTAGGGTATTAAAATTAACAAAATTAAAGTATCTTTGAGCTAAATGCTGAAATTATGGATAATTTTAATCATTAAGTATCCAGTCTAAAACTCTTCATTTTTCCTTATAAAATATTTTTTGATTTAGCCATTTAAATTGCAATTAGTAATTCATATTTTTTTAGTATGTGTGTTGAGAACAGTTAGTTTATATGGTTATTTGTTTTTACAGATAAAGATTCTGATTTGTTAGCTGTTGCATCTGAAGATGGTGACATTCTATTCTATGATACTAACAGTAAAGAGCAGAAATGTGTAAAATGTGAGCTCAATATGCGGTAGACTGGTATTTTTTTATATAGAAAATTTTTTTTTTTAAACCATTGTTCCAAACTAACATTGAATTACCTTTATTTGTGTATTTTCATTCGTTTAATATCAAATTTAGTCGGTGTGCATTTTGAAATACATAATGTGTATGTATTAAATTTTATATTGCTAGAATTCTTCTAGAATAATAATGTATTAATCATTTTAAATGCTTTGCTATCCAGTTTATTTAGAAATAATTCTTTTAGCTTGTATTTTATATTACAAAAATTTTCTTGCTGTTTATTAAATGTCACTGTGAACTAAATTGTTCTTTTCTCTATGGCTTAAGTACAGACTATGAAATTTTCAGAATACTTTATTTTTCTAAGTATAAAAATGGAATATTAATTTTTAAAGCTTTTATATTAAATATTTCAGCTAGGCAGTCTGCAACTAAAAACTGTAATTCATACTTCGGATATTGACTTACTTATCTCCTTCGAAGTGCTTCATTTTGTTCATCATTTTCTGAATGCCTTTTTTGTAATGACATTTGAAAGCTTTTATAAATCTTGGTGTAAAGGCTGAATGTTAGAAGTTGTATTTGCAAGAACAGACACAAATGTTGGATGGACTAAAAAATGGACATTATGGATGAACTATGAAAGGCTTTTTTAGGTATAAAGTCAGATATTCTGATACTGAAGAATCTATATTTTGCCAATTTGAGTTCTATAAGTGGTGGAGATTAGTTTAATAAACTGTGGTTTTTCTATTGGTAGTATGTATTTGTTTTGGTTCTGGAAATTTGAATGAGCAGCTGAATTTATTAACCAGTGAGTTTAATAAGTGGTGGGTACTGAAAATTAAAAAAAGTCTAACATTATTTGTGAAGCAATTACACAAAATTATTTTATGATGTAACTAAATTCACTTTTATGTAATTTTTTTTCTATTCATATTTTTTTATTAAACAAAATGTTTGGATTGCTACATTCTTGTTTTTGGACAATATTTTATGAAAGTTATTTATACCTTCTGATTAAATGCAAAAGTTAAATGAAAATTTCCTGCAACCTTCCAGGTTTATCTGCTCATCGTAATGCAATATTTGATATATGTTGGCTTCCTGACAGACCTCATTTACTGACAGCATCAGGTGACCATAAAGCTGCTTTGTGGGATGTTTCTTCTTCTAGACTTATTACCTCGTTTAGGAAACATACAGCTTCAATTAAATCAATAGATGTTTGTCCTGAACAAAGTGGTAAGTTTAAAAGTTTTCTGTATTGAGTGTTTTATATTTTCTTTAAAAATAAATGTATGTAGGATGTTTCACTTTTTTTAGTGAATATACATACATGAGTCAAAATAAAAATTACAGGAAAAATACTGCATTTAATCAAATCTGCTTCATATTAGTTTCTTTCTACAACATGTATGTATTATTTCATAGTGGGTTTCTGAAATAAATCCCCCCCCCCACTTCTAAAAAATACTGAACCTTTTAGTTTTTTTTTCAGAATCAATGACTATTTTATATCCCAATAGTAAAAAATGTTCTAATTTCAATGTGAAAACACTACATTATGAAAATGCAGACAATCAGATAGTAAGAAGTTAACTTGAAGGAAACTAAATTATAACAGATTTATGTTCTATAGGTGCAAAGAGTTAACATTAGTCAGATTTTGCTAAGAATGCAGTAGATAAAACTTTCATAGATTAAAGTAATTATCTCTGTAAAGTTTGTTTCACTGAAAAAAACAAAGAATAAGTCCTTCAATCAAAATCTCCGGTACCTAAATTGCAGTTAAAGTTACTAGCAATAGATAATGCATCAGTACCTAAAACTTTTCTATTTTTCTTTTTTAGCTTTTGATTTCAAACTGAATTTATCATAATTGTATTTAACTGGTTGCTTTTATTTAGAATTTATATTTGAAATAATTTAATGCTTTCTATTCTAGCAATTTTTGTCACTGGATCAAGAGATGGAGTTATTAATGTCTGGGATACAAGGGAAAAAAGTAGGTGTATTATTACTTTAGGGCAATACATATTTCTTTCACTGTTAAATAAAGCATTATTGATTAAAGTATATATTTTAGATGTTATGCATCTATGATTATATTAAGAGAATACATTATCTAATTTTTCCAGAAAATTTGAAAAAAGAACTTCGAAAATGCATTTTTAAGTTTTTTTTTCTCATTCTTAAGAGCAAGCTTTGAAAAAAGCTCATGCTACTTTTTGTCAGTAGATTGCACTGACTATTGCACTGTCAGAATTACAGGTTGCTACCTTTGGCAGGATTCTCGTCAAGGCCAAATGGAATTTTTCATCAAACAGAGTTAAATTTAATGACTGGGATAACCATAGCAACACCTCATAAGTGTGAAAGGAGTCTTAAGCTATGTTAGAATAGAATATTGTAGAACAAAAAAAGCCTTTTTGTTGGAGTAAGTTTCAAGGCAGAAAGAAAATATATTCAGTGATCATCTTAAAAAAATTATTATTATTCACTTGTTCCATGTTAAGCATTGCAAGGAATCATTATTTTCTATTTGTTCATTGCCTGCTGTTGATTTAGTAAATTTCATTTGCAATATTTAAAGTTGATGATTCACTTTTTGATAGGCATATAAACTTCAGGATATCGATTATTAATAATTAAAAGTTCCTTTTTCTTCTTTTTTCTAGAAAACATTGGTATAATTTTGTATTCTTGTCATATTTAGGAATTTGATCATTGAAGTATTGGACATTTTAAAATTTCTATCTCATAAAAAATAGTCAACCTTCATGTGTCATAATATCTTTAAACATGAATGATTCGATTGACACCTGTGAAACTGACTAGTCTTTCTAAAAACATAAACAAACACTAGTATTGAAAATCATTTCTTTAAAACAGTAATCTCCTTAGAAAATCAAATCATTTGACAATATGGATGATCCTCTTAGAGTATATTCTGTTCTGTAAATTGTTTCAGTTTAAATGATAAATGAATGATTGAAGATGATATTTTTGTCATCTTTACAGTAAAATAATAACAATATAAAATATGTCATGTCTGACATCACAAGAATTAGAGAAATGAAGACGAAATTTACATATATAATAAAAATTATTAATTAAATTAATGATATGACATGTGAATACATTGTATATTTAAGTCTTGATTTTTGCTTTTAAACCCTTCGTTAACAGTTGAAAGAAGGCTTACTATTTTCACTTGAATAGGAAACCTAAAATTCAACTCTTCAAAATAGGAAGTATTGCCAAGCTATGTGATATAGCACTTTTAATAAGGAATTAGCTGCCTGATCCATTGGTATGCAGTAAACATTGGTTAATGTGCCATAATGCCTATAAGTAGTTATACTGCAAACTATGCATTAGCTTAATTTTTACATGTATTAAAACAATTTTTAAGATCCATCAGTGGCAAGTTTGAAAGGTTTCAGATTTTAACAGTCACCCAAAAAGATTTGTTAAGGTTTTTTATGCTCTCGCTGAGCTCATAATTTACCAGTCTACTAGTGTACTCACTGCTGCTATTTCTTTCTTTCTTTTTTTCTTTTAAAGCTTTATTATTAAGCATAATTTTCTCTGCACTTGCACTACATACAGTTCAAAAACAAAACAACAAAAAATTTTAAAATAGTAGCATATGTTTAGTACTCCCAATATTGTGTTAAGTGTTGGCATAAATTTTTTCTGCCTTTTCGCAGTTTATTATATCAGTATTCAGTTTTCTTACTAAGATCGCTATACAAAACATTTTTTGTCTTTTTATTATTAATGTTTTATCTGTTTATTTATAAAATATCACATTCTTGACACGCTACATAAAATTTGATTCAACAGCAAAATCACAAAATATTTAAAAACAGCGTATCTTAACTCTCTGGCTGCTCAATTTGTGGACCGAAACCACTTCAAAAATTGCATATTTTTTTTGCATATTTTGAATCTATATTTATTGGAGAATTGAAAAATGCATTTTTACTTTCTAGAAAATATTTTGTACATGGATTTTTATAATGAGAAACTAAGTTGTCAGAAAAAACAATTTCAGATGTTATCACACCCCAAAAAATCTTTTTTAATATTTCAGTGGAATTACAGTTAATTTCTATTTATTGCATAATATAAAAAGTAATATTTATTGCATAATATAAAAAGTAAAATGTGTAAAATTTAAGAAAATATAAAGCGCTGAGGAAAAAATACCTTAGAAATGCAGTTTAGTCTGATAGAGTTCAAAACAGGGTTCAAGGCAAAGTCCAACTTCACAGTTTTTGTACCAGATTCAATAAATCTAACCAATCTAATTATTAATCTAATTAATAATTTAATTAAATAATCAAGATAATTGCTGAACGTTTTCTTGCAGCCATTTCTGTAAGAAAAAAAAGAGGCAAAAAGTGAAGTTTGAGTGCTCACGTGCCTTCAAATGCCACAATTTAGTAGACAACTAACAATATCTGTTGGCCAAAACATAGACTAAACGCTTAATACTGTATATAATTTATTTTAATGCTTAAACGGGGGAAAAACAGGATGCGCTCCTCAATAAAGGAAGAAAAACATATGCCTGCGGCATAAACAAATTTTGCTACATTTGAGTTGCCCGTGGAAATCTCGGGATGATCAGCCAGAGGGTTAAGAACTGCCAACAGACAGTTTCGCATGCTGGAGATAAAAGTGTTTAATTCCATGCTGTGAAGGGGCCAATACATGACTTACAATCAAACATAAGGAATTCCTGAATACAAATTATAGTGGATAAAATGTTTACTTGACATGTTGCTAGTTGAGCTTACAAGAAATGAGCATGTATTAGGTATTATGTATACTTTTAAAATCTGTGCATGTCTGTCTGTTTGTTTAGGGCATTATCTCCCCCAGAAGGGCAGGGAGTTGAGTTTTGAGAGAGGTACCCCTGGATTCCAAAAACGCGTGGGAAGCCATTTCGACCATTTTCATCTTTGTAAGACTTTAATTATCCAATATGTTAGTTAAAAACTCTAAAAACATTAATTTTCATCCTCATTTTTCCGAATAGAAACAGTCTCGCTTCCTGGAGATAAAAATCTACTTTTTTGAAAAGTGTTGCCACTGCTCGCTTTCAAATCATAGAATTTCTTTAAAAACATTTCAAGTTTTACAAAATATGAAAATAGCATTCTCAAACATTAAATGTATTATTTCCGATTCCAAAAATTCATGGAAAGCCATTTCAACCATTCTTATCTTCGTACAACTTTAATCAATTGAGATACTAATTAAAAACTTTGAAAATGCTAATTTTTGCTCACATTTTTTGAGTGGCAACATTCTTGCACACTAGAAATAAAAATCTGGTTTATTTCGAAAAGTGTTGCCACTGCTTGCTTTCAAATCCTAGAGTTTGTTAATAAGAAAATTGTAAGTTTTACAAAATATGAAATAAAAATAACATTGCCAAACTATATATTTTTATTGGTTAGACTTGACTTTAGGCTACCCCTTGTATTATCACGAAGTTGTTTCATTTACCGCCAAGTTGTTGTTCTGTTTATTGCCTAGTTGCTTCCTTTATGGCAACCTGAGTAGTTGATTTGTTATGGAAACCCTATTATGACGTAATCGTTTGCATTATTCAGGGAAATCTTGAATCTTGGGATGTTTTGTAAGGGCTTTTGTGTGTGGTTAGGAAATATATTGCTTGTTTCATTGTTTAGAAGGTAGAATGGCTGAATGTAGTAAGATTAATTTGAAGTTTCTGTACAATTTGGAATGAAAGGGGGAAAGAGCATTAATTGACTGGTGTGTGAATGAAGGTTTACTTAGTAGCCATTATAAGTGCCCTTTTTACGAAGGAAATGATATGGTCGAACGTCGGAAGATACGCCACTATAGGATATTTTTTGACTCTTATTTTTGTGAATTTATGTGGCGACGCCGATATACAGATTCTAGATCAGATAATTTTAGGAAGTTTTTGGGTGCTGTTAAGGAATTTTGTGTGCCACAGAGGTAAGTGGATATTTGCTTTGTGTAATGCTTAAATGCATAATCCCTTTTAATGTTACTTTATTGTTTGGTTTAAAATGTAGTTTATTGAGATTATGTATTTTTTGTTTGCCTCTAGAACTGAGTGCTCCCTTGACTTTTTAAGTAAAAATATATTGATGTGTACATGGTCAAAGTCAAGGGATGCAAAATGTGGAATTATGTGCAAAGCCTACTTTGTGCAATTCTCTGATATTTTTTTTAAGTGAAAATAATGTCGATGTGTCATGGATAAAGAAGGAATTGCACATGGATTTTTTGTGCAATCTGGAAATTGTTTTTATGTGAAAAATAGGTTGATGTGTATATGGATATCGAGTTTGTGCAATTCTTTGTCTTTTTATTTTGGCTTTATGTAGTGGTGATTTTTGACGCAAAAATCGCTGCTACACAAGCCAAAATAACAAGTCAAAGACCTGCACAAATTCGGTATCCATGTACCACCGAAAATCGCTAAGTTTCGCCAAGGGGTACCCTAAAATATACTTTTACCTTTTTATTATATAAAGTCATATTCTGACGTTGAAGAAAGCCTGTTAGTCTGGCTGAGTAAAAATAGGCGGCCAGTGCAACTCTGATTCAAAATCCGGTGATATCCACGTCCAGTGCTGATAACGACCACATGTTTCTGAGACTCCGTTGCCGATGCTTTATTTTTCTTCTGTTTTCCCCTTTCTAGTAATTTCGTTCTCCTGATGAGGAGGGACCTTTAGCTGCCCTCGAAATCGATTGTTTTAATATATGTACGCTAAATACAAGGTTGTTATTGCGATTTTAATTATATCTAGGTTGCTTATATTTGTGCGTGTAATCGTACTAGATGCCCTCCACAATTGGTTTATTTTTCCAGAATAGCATTTTGGCCTCCAAGTTAATGTGATGATATTTTTTTAATAGATTTTCAGTTTTATTTTGTTTTACTTTTGTGAAGGAGGAATGTAAATTAAGTACTAGGTAAATTTGTAAATCATGGATCAGTTTTAATTATTACATCTATCTAAAATAATTTTGTTTCATATTTGCACTAAATCTTTTATTTTGATTTACTGAGAAATGGTTGAATTGCTTATTACGGTTTTCTTGCCCCAAGAGATGGAATTAGGTAGGATAGTTTTTTTTTCCTTTTAAACTTTGGAATAACTTTCTCACAGTAAATTATAAATCTCCATTTTATTTCTAAACCTTTTAAGTCCAAAGGGGCTATTTGCCCAGAAGGACTATTAATTTTGTGTTAGCATTTTGCATTGATTCACTACAAGCATTGTTTCACTTTTCAGATTGTTGCCACCAAGTATTATCACCTTGTATTATATTTAAAGAAATTAAATAATGAAGAATCTGCATAAATGTATGTATGTTTCTCGCATTTTGATAAAACAACAGTACCTAGAGCCATAAAATTTTGAATAGCATAACCCTCCTGTGAATATGGGCATCTGGAAGCCCAAATTTGAAATTTGGAATTTGTTTTATTATCGATTTCATATTTTGTAAAACTTTAATGAATTTTTGATTAACAAACTCAAGGATTTCAAAGTGAGCAATGGCAACATTGCACATTTTTATCTCCAGTGCATGTGACTGTGTATTCTAAAGTTATGCTTATTTTAAAAATTATTTTGTGATATTGCTCTTGAATAGAATTTTATGGTTTAAGTGCAAAGATCAGAATATTTAATAAATAAAGGTCACACAAAATGTTAAAAAAAGGCCCCTTTGGATGTAATTTAAAATCTGAAATCTTTCAAATTTTTTTATTTTTAATTTTTTTCATAAAATTGTTTTTAATTTGAAATTTTTATTCTTTATACAGAATGCACTATGCTTTATGACAAACCTGTCATCACTATTGAGAATGCGCACTGCAGGAAAACATTTCTTCCAATTAAAGGAAAAAAACACTCTTGTGTAAGCAAATTTTAACTTAAGTTTTAAGCTATATTCTTTGTTGAAATTTAAAATATTTTATAGAATTTTGAATTTACTTTTGCATGAACATTCTTTTATATTGCTGATAACATTACAGTTGTTTGCAAATTTGTGTATGCTGAGGGACATTCACAGTTCCTCTTCCCATGTATATGGTGTATGTTGTAGAGAATAAACACATAGTTGAAAATTTATGTATGTATATTGGAAAAAGCATATTTTTTAATATAGTTTGTTTTACAAAAATATTATATTGCATAATACAAAACTAGAATACTTTTTACTTGAAGAGAACTAGAATCTTAACCACTGTTTCCATTTACTTAGAAATATTACTGTTGCCACTCATAAATAAATACATAAAAAAATCACTTCTCAATACCTGCCCTTAATTTTTATTTCCTTTATTAAATTCAGAAAGTTAAATCAAATTTATATTCTTATGCTTGTATTTTTAGTCAACAAAAACATTTGCTTTTAAATTTAATAAAGGTTTTATTATCCTAAGTACTTAAATTTGTTAAACTTCACTTTACTTAATGGTTTCTTAAACATAATTGCTGTGCTTTTTTTTTTTTTTTTTTTACAAATGGCGGGCACTTGCCTGTAACAGCATTGGCCACTACTAAGCGGTGACCATTTTATTGTGGAGGCACCTAATAGGCAGCCACCATTACTTCCTATGAAGGGACAGGCAATTTTACATCGATGCCTTCTCTGGGATTCGAACCCAGGCCCTTTGGTATCCCAGTCAGTATCCCCTAACTACTTTACTGTCTGGGCGGCATTTGCTGTGCTATTGTCAGAAGTTAAAAGAACTTGTTAATGTTATATTCCTTAAGTTTTTCTGGTAAATAATAATACTTCAGTATGTTTACATCTGTTAAAATGTTTTGAATCAATTTAATTCAACTTTGATTGTTTTGATTATCAGTAATTAAATTACAATAGTTTTATTGGTTATTTCTTCCGAAAATGTTTTATATTTAAAAATTTTAAATTGAGTTAAAGAACTTTTATATTAAAAGATTTCTTTAACCCAGTTTACTGTTGCTGTATACTTAACTTCTATAGTTAATAAAGCAACTATTGGTTGTTTCCTTATTGCATAACTCAAGGATTTCCCACGTATTCAGTAGTGCTTTTGCATCTTTCTTTATAACTTGTATAATTTGCATCATAGGAAATTTCTAAGGTGTCTGTGTTAAATCTAAATTTAAGATATAATCAATAAGTTCAGCGCCCTGTACTTTTTTCCTGGTTGTGGCAATGAATATGTGGTTATTGCAAGTCTGAAATTAAAATAAGCTGGTTGATGAATGAGAAAGAATCTGTTCATTGTCATTGAAAAAAGCATCTGTTGCTTATTATTTGCCATTAATTGCTTAATTTTATGCTCAAATTTATCATTGAAAAATAATTATAATTAATTATTTAATTATAATTAAATTATAATTTTAAATAGGTTTTCAGTATTTATTCATTATTAATAATTAGGCATATTTTAAAAGGAAACATAATAATAATGAAAAATTATTTAAAAATATTGAAATTTATTTATAAACTAATACAAATATTTCTAAAACAAAAGAGTGGAAATATTAATTCTTATGTCATTAACAACACTTTATCATCAAACCCAAAAGTGACACTGAATAAAATTTAGATTTGAATGCTCAGCTAAATTTTTTAAAGTTTTTTATGTTATGTTGTAGCATTATTCATAAATTTTATATAATATTCCTGTGATTAACCCCTTATCGTTTGGTTCATTCATTCTACTTTATCAAATTTCCTCTTTTATTTTGAGTAATAAGAGAGATGCTGATTTTACTTGGGTGTTTATTTATTATATTTATGAATAAACACATTTTTGGAATTTCAGGGCTTATTTGGAATATTATAATTGTAATGATAATGCTTAAATAAATTTAAAAAATAAGCAGTAAATGATCTCCTCGGTTACCTTGATGTGAATCACAAAATCGTTCAAACAATGCATTTAGCCTGAAAGTAATGTTTTTGTTAACCTCTTCGTGACGGCATGTTGGTGAACTAAAAACCCTCTACTGCAGACATGTGTGTCATATATGCATCAGTCCCAAATGTCACTAGCAGCCGGATGATGCACTGGTGCATCAGCGCTTGAATTGATCTTCCAGACGGGTGTGACATTATATGCATTTTCAAACATGCATGTTCTTTTTGAATTTTTTAAAATCACTAAATGGCACTCTGTGTCCACTACAGTTAGCTTATTTGAACATATGCATTGTTGATCTTGTGTCCATGAAGTACTTTCTGATTCTGGCGAATTGTTTAGATGTACAAACAGATAATATAAAGTAAACAAAACCCAGCTGACATGCAACTGGCGTCGCATGGTATAGTTTCTGATGCTTCAATTCCCTCCCCCCCCTTCAAAGATTGGAAGTAAAGCTGTGATTTTAGGAACTCGGGTTTGTATACAGTTTGCATCTTCTTTAGAGAGCAGACATAAGTTTTTTGCACTGATAAGAGAGTTAAACTATTAGTGCAATGTCTAAGAGAAAGAAGTCTTTAATGAAAAAAGAGTATATTCGAATTGTAAAGCCCGTCAGTGTCCGTTCGAACCCGTAAAGGACAATTTTGAAACAGAAAACTAGATTTAAGCGAGAACAGCAATTTTGATACCGAAATTTTCTCAGAGACTGACTTGGAAGTTTGTTTTGCTTTCACCTCGCAATCCAACGGAGCAGTGGCTACTCCATCACGAGCTCGATCTGTTAGGTAATTGAAGATTTATGAATTTACAGGAATTACCGAATTCATAGAATGAAATTGACTTTTCAACATTTTTTTCACTTAATCTAATGAACATAATAGTTGAAGAAATTAATAATTTCTATGAACAAAAGATGATGAAAATCATCTTCATCCAAAATCAACATACTTGTGCAGATGTGCCTAAAATGAGGGGATTCATATTATTAATTATTTTGCTGGGATGGAATTAAAAAGTTTGACCTGAAAATGTGTTTCATAACTAATGAAAGAGACTAAATTATCACACACTGTTTCCTTTCTGAATCATTTATACTATTATATTTACTCATATATTTTGCTATTTTTTCCATATGTTTAGATATAAATTTAAATAAGTTTTTTACAACATTTCACCAAAATGAGTTAAATATTTTATTTTGTTTGATGTTAATTAAAATTTCTTCACAATCTCTTGATATTCTGTATTTATGATTATATTACTGTTATATATATCATTACAGAAAAAAAATTGATTAAAAAATATTTTTAATGAATTATTTTTAAAGTTAGGCTTAGCAATGTGAAATATTATAATAATTATAATCTTACTATTGCAACAACTCACAGTCTCCAAGGTGAGTTGCACTAAGCAACATGCTCTCACGTAAAAGGATTAACTGCTGATGCATGTATGATAGACTTGTTGTGAAAGATAAAAGAATGATGAAATAATGCATATTAAGATGAAATAATGCATATTAAGATGAAATAATGCATATTAAGCAAACTATATATCCTACAAGGGACAGAATAAAGATAATGGGAAGAAAAGAAAAGAACAAAAAACTGTGAAATCTAATTTTATTCTATAGGGAGAATCATAAAAAGTAGCCTACCTCTAGTGATATTATGACAACGTGCAACACCATTTTTCTGACATGATGTACACAGATGAAGATAACAGGGAAAATAAAGCTGAAACATCATTTTATTTCAGGACAAAAATTTGCTGGACAGATGGACAGTCGGTAGGCAGAAAGCAAGGCATTGCAGCCACCTCCGAAGACACCAGTATTGAATGCAGGCTACTTTTCATGGGTCACCATGTGGTTTCCCAGCTTTATTTATTTATTTTGCTTATCACGTAGTCTTAGGAGAGAAAGGAATCTATTTGTGTGTTAATGTTTATTGGATAACTAATTATTAATAGTTGCAAATTAGCGACAGAAATGTTATGTGTCATAATTTGCAAAATCTTGCACATGATATAGATAGATATTAGAGTGCTAAATATGATGGATTAGATTTTAATAGTGAAAGGTGAAAATTTGATTCTCTTTAAGCAAATGTAACATTATAAAACACTATTTTAATGTAAAAATTCAATTTGAGAATAAAACTGCCCTTCTCTATTATATTTACAAATTTTTCTTTTGCTATCCATAAAAATATTTGAATACTATTTTGTTTATAATTGGTTACAAATCTGCATTCCCATTTAGATTAATATGTTTCATTTCATGAATGTATGCATTCAACTGAATTTGTGTTGTAAATTTAGATGAAATTTTGAATAATGAATTTCAGAATCAAACATATGGGACAGGAATTTGGAATTTTTCATGAAATTTTCTTTTTTTGGAAATATATTGCTTGAATTTTAATTGTCTTGAAATTATTCAAGTTTTTGAATCAGGCATTCATATTTAATCATCCGACATAATCTTGAAGACTACTAGATTGATCTAAACAAATTTTTTTGTTATTAAGTAAGTAATGGCTGTTAAGATAAGAACAGAAAAAAAAAAAAAAAATGATTACCATCTGTTATCTTGTCTTTCATATGTGACACCAAAATTCATCTTGGTTTAGTTTGAAGTAAGGAAGCGCTGTGTGTATGAAATTTTTCTTGAAATATGATCCAATGTGATATTTTTCAACTTCTGATAAAACATATATTAGCTTAATTAAGACACAATAACCCGCCGAATAAATACTAATTCAGAAGTCAAACAACAAAAATCAGTGTTATATTTTCAAAATTTTCACAGGAAAAAAACCCATCGAAACTAGTCCTGTGAAAATTTTGTAAATATAACAATGATTTTTGTTGTTTGACTTCTGAATTAGTATATATTAGCTTGTCTACAAAACTTTGTTGAAATTTAAAACTTCTAATTTCAGAAAGATGTGAAGAGCAGTGTTTCATCAGTGGCTTTTCAAGACATACATAATCTTGCCTCAGCTGGTGTAGCTGATGGGTAAGTGTCTTTATGACCTTTGGTTTGTCTAAAATAAATAGAAAAAAATGGCTGAGAATAAGGTATAATTCTGAGATAAATACATAGATTCAATCTACTGCACAACTTGTCAATAGTCAATACATGAATGCCATTTTTACAACTTTAAAAATGTGCATGTAACACATTTTTAAAATTAACCACTCTATATTTAACTTAATGCATAAATATATATAGATATATATATATATATATATAATGAATAGTTAAAGATATGTCTTTTAAATTACATGCATATTTAATTTAAAATTTTATTACTTAAGTAGAAATATTGCTAAATCTGTTTTTGAAATGAATATTTGAAATAAAAATAATATAAAGGGAAAATGGAATCGATAAACCTTTTATGTTTATGAGGCTTTTGGATTCTGATTTCTACAGAGAAACAAAGAATTAAAATTTCTGACACACGGATGAGAAATATGCATATAATCTTCATTGAAAATATATATAATTTATTTTTAAATTACAAACATACAAATTACAGAATTTTTTTATAACAGTTCTTCATTTGCCTTCATTTTCAGTGACATTTTCTTCAAGAGTTTTCATTCCTGAGTTGTTCGAAATGGGGTTACAATCTTTTTTGATAATATTAAAAATTCTTTTACAGGTTGCATTTGATTGAGGTATTATTAAAGCAACATGGTCGCAATGTTCGGTATTTTGTATTTAATGCACTCATTCTATCTTTAACTTTGCAATATCTCTGTGTTAAACCAATATGTAAATCTGAAACTTGAAATTATCTGCTTGATGCATAGAAAACTCAATTTCTACTTAAGATAATTTTTATTAATAATGAATGAAAAGTGTTCACCATATAGTACATTTTAAGGAATGAATCATTTAGAGGAAGAGCATGTAGTAATGATAAAAGGCTGTACTGAATTGGAAGGAAATTCAATTCATTTTTCAACTGCACATTTAGAAAATAAATTTTGTTTTTGCACCAATCGCTGAATTTTTATTGACTTTTTATTTATTACACTTTTGAAGTGGAAAGGATGTCAGATTGGTTTCTGTATCATATTCAGAAATTACTGATGGTTTTATGAATAAAAGTTCCAACAAGGTTTCTTCTCAATTTATGCATGTAAGGTAGTTGAAGTGGCAAGTTAATATTTTCCATTATAAACAAAGGCAAAGTAATGTTAAAAAAAGGGTAAATATAATTTGGTGTTAAGAGATTGTAACTTTTTTTTTTTTCTTCTACATTCTCTTTCCTTCATTCCCATTATCATTCAACTGAGGCCCACCCTCAAAAAAGAACTTATTATTTCCAAAATTCCTGTCAGACTTCTCTTCTTCTTTTTCACTAACTTCATTTTTATGCAAGAGGTGGCATGGACAATCTCCGTATGATTTCATCTAGTTGATGCATTTTAATAACCTTAACTTTTCTTAACATTTTACTAGCATTAACTTTTTAAAAAATATATATAAGCAACTTTTTCATTCTAAATTTTTGCTAATAAAAGATTAATTTATGCAGTTAAAATTACCTTCTCTGATATTATTACAGCATTCTAAAATAAAAATCAGTTAAGAAAATATTAGTCCTTTTTCTTTGCTATAATATGTCACAAAGAGTACCAGTTTGTTATTACTCCTTCCATCAGTACTTAGAGCAAATGATGTATTGTACACTAATTCTACAGCAGTACATCCTGTAAGCATTTGTATGACTGCAGCACTTTTGGTGTGCCCACAGTTAAATTTTTATGCTATGGTAGAATCTGAAACTGTCACATTCAAAAATTGTTTTGAATGATCCAAAACTGGAATTTGAAGCTGTATTCAATAAAAAATTGATTAAAATAGTATTTGGTTTTTATAACACCTGTTTCTTTATCTGTTATAAAGATAAATGTTATAAAAGAGTCTGATGTTTCTTTTGATTTTATTTCACTAATTTCTTTGTCTTTGAGAAAATGCATTAGTCATCTTTTCCATTGCACTTAAGTGAAAAATCTGTGTTTCTTGCATTGCCAATGTTCATGATTTTCTTTGATTTTGAAATTTTCTATTTATAGAATGAATTCGTTTCTATAAGCTTTATAATATGACTTTAAAATAGCCGTAACTTGAGGTAATGGTAAATTGCTGTTTATTTCAGGCTTTGCCCAAATCATCAGGCCAATTTTTGATGTGGTCAGTTTCAGGTTTTGCCCATAATGCACACATACACATCAGTGTTATAATATAATTAATAAAATGGCATTTAATAAACTGCCAGTGCAGTTAATTTATAATTTGATAATTATTATTAAGTGGCAGAACAATGCAAACATTTCTAAGGAAATTGTTAATATTGGAATTGAATTAGGATGTTATAATTATATTGTGTGATGAATTTAATTTAATAGCACATTTGCGTGTATGTTGCAGTTCTGCACTTCATATTTTATATGTGTTGCATAAATATTACTTAATACATTAATGCATAATGTAAAACACAGTAAACAACACTAATACACAACACTGAATGACACTTTTCGTTAAGAGAGTTATATCAAGGATTTGAAATCAGCTCTTAACTGGTTAAATCATGTTAAGGAGTTTATAATCTTTTACTGCAGTCAAAGTATCTTTGGGCAAAACGCAGTTACTACATATTTTGACAAATGAGCATTATTCTTCCAAAATTTATTTCATATCTAAAATATTTTTCTGTGAATTGATTTTTTATGACATTAAAATGTATATTTTAGGGTAGTGAAAATATGGGATTTGAGGAAAACTTACATTTCAAGCCATCTTTGTATACCAGCTCCTCGACATATGCTAGGGTATTCTGGAGCAAATGTTTCTGGCCATGGTAAATTAGTTAGTCATTGCTTATGTGTAGTATTACTTTGGCTAATTGACTTTTAGCTTTGATTAATATATTCTTTTATGAAAGATAAAATATTTAATTTTTATTTTAGGTTGCACAAGTTTATCTTTTGATTCACGACGTAAAATGCTGTATGCATGTAGTACAGATCATAAAATACATCGTTTTGATTGCCATTCCTATATCAAGGATGGTATGTTCTTTTGTGTTTTTATCACTCTTTCATGTTTAGACATTAAATGCTTCTTGAAACTTTACTTTTTTCTCCCCACTTTGTTTTCAAATTCCTTCTTTGTCACAAAACACATCTACTATAATTTTTTGCTAATCATCAACTTGAATTTTGTAGTTATGAATTTTATATAAATAACACAGTATAGAATGTTGCATCATTTGGCAGCTCTTTTGTTATATAAAAGTCTGGTTTCTCATAACTTAATTTATGTCTTATTCTTTAGATTCTTAAGTTAGGTAAGTAAGTCTTTAATAAGTTTTTTAATGTTTTCAGAGGAAAATGCCATATAATATGTCTTTAGTTAATAATTTTTTCTTTCATCTCTTCAAACTGTACACTGAAAATGAGATTTATGAATTATTGAACAAAATTATTAACCCTTGAAGTGGCCAAGTTGTATATACAGATTGAAAAATCTTTAGCATGATACTTTTTAATACACAAGCATGCATATTGAAGTATGTCCAGGTAACTAAAGTAGATAGAAGAAAAGGAGTCAAGGTGCTAAGTCAAAGGGTCATTTTGCAATTATAATCAAGAAAATAACCATTTGCTTATGATCTTTTTGAGAAGTTTAGGATTTTGGGGCCAAACCCTTAGCTATCTGGAGGGTTAAGATGTTCTCATGGTGCAAAGTTGTAACATGTTTGATTTATAATCAGAAGTTCTGTGATTCAGATACTAGTGAAGGCTCTGTTTGTTGTTTCATGGCTCTGAAATGACATAATGTGTCTACAGTACATCTAAGATAAAATGTAATCAAAGGTAATTTATCACCACTTGGATTTTGTCAACTGGATCTTATCTTCTCACCAGTTGTCCTATAATTGGAGATGGAATGTAAGGAACTATTGCATTTCTGTGTATATGTATTTGTGGTATAAGTGGTAGCTCAGTCAGCGAGTAGTTAAAAGATCCCTGGTTTGGATCCTGCTGACAAATCTAGTTTTGTGCTAATTTTTTATTAGTATGATATTGATGTTTTATTTAAATATTCTAAATTTTTTTGGGGGAGGGGGGTTCTTCAATTCTAATCAAAAATTACATTTAGTTTGTAGTACATATGCTTACATTAAAGAGTTTTTCCTCAAAAATCTGTTGATATTAAAAAGAAAACATACATTTTCAGAACTTAGCAACTGTTGTAAGATTACATGTTGCATATATTCGGTAATTTATATATTAGTTAATAGGATACATATAACTGCTCCTCCTTTGCCATTTTGTAAACAAGAACTTCCATTCCGGAATTTATTTGTAATACTGTTAAAAACAATAAAGCTGTCATTTATGACATAATTTTGTTAAAATTAATGGTGGAAAAAATCCAGTGTTTAAAAGTTTATACATTTCATCGAAAAAGGAAAAATTAATGAATTTCATTTCTGATTTTGCTTATTACTTAGAGGAATGTATTTAATTTCTTTTGTAAATGTGTGTTTTTATGCATGTAAAATTAACTTTTAAGTTATACTTTTAAATAATTATATTTGTGATGACATTTTATTATAAATGTATTTCAGTATCAGTGACTGCAAATATTTCAGATGCACTAACAATCACTCCTGTTATTTGATGTAATTAAAAAATGAATTTATTTGGACTAATTTTGTGACATGACTGATTGCTGAAGAGAGGTTTAGTATGTAAATATTGTGTAGCAAGTTGTCTTAATTTGGCATAAATATTTAATTTGAAAGTTATTAAGGAGAACAACTGCTATTATAGTTATAGTAGTGATGCTTTGGAGATTCAAAAGCAAGTCTTTTTTTATCAAACTCGTATATGATTGGCAAACTTTTGTGTTTTTAAGTGGTACCATAATTATTTTACCCTCAGCACAGCCAGCGTGAACTATATGGCTAGACTAGAATTTTCTTAAAACACATCTGAAAAACATGGAAAGGTTAGGAAATTTCACTCTCCTGTTTATGTGGCAATCCTGTACACATCAAGCATTCATTTTGTTGAATTATTTTTATTTATTTATTAACTTTATGCTTACATGTGTGAGACTGAATTTAAAATTTTCTTGTTAAAAAATATTCATCTTTTACAGCATTTACATATGAAGGTTTGAAATGTGGAACTTATTTCGTGAAGCTTGCCTTAAGCTATGATGATCAGTATTTATTATGTGGATCTAGTGATGATGCAGCATACATTTGGAAGGTATTGTATCCATATTTCATTTTTTCTTATGAATAATCATGTTCTCTCTTAATGCATAGTTAATTTTTTTAATATTGTATAATTTACAAAAGTAATCTTAAGTATATTACAAAAAGATTTCAAAATAAAGCACTATAAATATTAAAATATAATTTTTTTTTTTTTTGCCTCAAAATATCTTAAAAAGAGTGTTTGTACATCTTTGTTCAAATTTGTTATTTAAATTTTTAGCATATAACTGAAAACTTTTAGTTTTAATTTTTAATAATTGTAGAATGAGCATTCCACATATGAATGTTTATGAACTTTAGAATTTTATTGTTAGTTGTAATGTCAGTAGTGATCTGTGATTATTTTCCTGACTACAAACTGCATTACACAAACTACATTTGTGAACATGAATACAAACTATGTTTTATTGATAATAACATTCCAAGATTTCTGTGTGAGAGGTGGTGTGGCTTTTGTTAAAACTGTTTAAAACAATAAATAAGTTACATTACTTTATGTTTGAGTATGAAGTAGCATAGCTTATTTTATAAAGCAACTATAGTAAACTATTAAAACAAAAAAGGGGTGTGAAATTGGCAAACTTTTGCTTGTGTTTTTTTCCATAGGTGACATCATAGATTTGCAACATCTTTTCTACTTGATTTTTGTTGTTGATTTCTTTAAATTATTTTATTGTATATCATTCTGAATATATAGAAGCATATCATAAGAGAAGCAAGTTAATTAATCCTTTGATTTTTATGCAAACCTTGACCATTAAGTTCCAGAATTAGTATGCTGATAAATATACATGACATTTATTCAAATACTCTTTATCTGCAAGTCTAATCCTAGTTATTGAATTGTATGTTTTATAACAGTTCTTTTGTGAAAGTTTACTTTGAAAAATATAGTTTTTATGCTTATTTGCAAGCTTAATAAATGTTTCCACTGAACTCTTGAAAATTCATTTGATGTTTAATTTAATTTAATAATTATTTATCTGGGGTGGGTTCTGAGGGTCTCTTACCCTCTCCCCTATCACTAAACCACACCCGAGGGCTTTTGACCCACCATGTATTTAAAGTACCCCCATGCCGTAAAGGAACTATACATTTACAAACATCCATGCCTTCTTTAGCATTTAAACCTGGGCCCTTCACTACCACAGTAGGCTTCCTTAGTCACTATACTGCCTGGGCAACATATAATATATATTATCTTGTTTAAATTTCAGAATCAATGTATTTAAAAATTGTTTTAATGAAAGATAAGGATACTTTTCAATATGACAGAGGAAAATTAAAATGTTTCATTTAAATGTTATTTTTCTGAACAAAATTTTAATATATTATCTTTATTTTAATATGATAACATTATTATATTTGTTTAAAAAGCTCTCAGGGATTTTGAAAATCATTGAATTAAAATATTTTATAGCTAATTTGGTTTTAAAATTGCTGGAAAACCACCAAATTTGATGATGCACAGTAAAAGAATTCATATCCCAAAGAGAAAAGAACTTGTTTCTTATGAAGCGAAGAGGATGACTTCACACTGCTATCTTTAATGTCTGCCAAGAATGTAGGATTAAAATACAAAACTAGTGACAAAGTGTCAGATTAGCGCAATTTTTTTGCACTTATATTTACACACCCATATATATGACAAGAATGAGAAAAGAATTTGATGTGTAAGATTGTAAAACTAAGACAATTTTCATAAAAATTACCAAAAATTCATGAAGAATATTTATGAAAGGAGAATGACATTTCTGTTTATTTTTTTTTACTACAATCTAATTATTTTAAGAAACTGAAAGGAGCTTAGAAAACTTATTTTTTTATATGATGGTGATAAATAATTTGCTTATTAGAATAATTGCAATTGCATAAAGTTTTTAGTCTAATGGTGAGTTAATATTATTTTTTAATCTTGAAGCATAGTTAAAAAAACTTTTCACCTTATTTTGTTTCTTTCCAGACCACTAAACCAGGTTTGCCCGTTTTTGAATTACTTGGCCATTCAGCTGAAGTTACATCTGTTACTTGGAGCCCATATGATGTTACAAAGGTATTAAAAGAAACTTTAAATGCTCTGTTGATTATTAAATTTCCCAAACTATTAAGATGAGCTATTAAATACATATTTATGGTATAATATTATCTACCTAATAATATTACAGAAATATAGTACATTATATTAATAATATTATGCAACTATCAAAGCCATATTTATTATATAAATCAGGGTTGGCCTAACTTCAGGTTAGTAAGAGCTGCACGTTTGAATTCAGGAATGTTCGAGAGCCGCATCTAGGTTTTCTAAAAGCCACAAGTTCATATTTACATCATTATAGAAGTAGTGGAGGAGGTTTTAAATAGAAAGAAATCCCTGATAACTTTGTAAAAAGAGTCTAAACTAATTAATTACTTCTTTTTGGACACTGAATAGTTTAAGTTTACCATATTTCATACATACAAGCCACACAAATTGACTGCGAGAGTCGTAACAGACCTGCGAGTCGCACTTTAGCCACCCCTGTTATAAATAATTTATGGTAACAATCACTTTGACTAATGAAGTGTAAACAAGCTAACTAGCTGTTGAAATATAACTGCTGCTATAGTGTTTAGAACTGAGAGGTTCAGATCTTCAGTTTTGAAAAGTTTTATGTTATAAACTATAGATATCTGAGATCACAAGTATTGACGGAATTAGTGCATATAAGAGATGACTGTGCTTATAATTCCCATTTTGATACTCCTTAAATATGTTTCGTAATACCTGTAATTCTGCTGAGAAAAATATCAGTATATGAAGATCCAATTCTTTGAAAAGATTGTTACCTGGTGACCTACAGACACATACCTAGCGAATGATTTGCATTTTTATAGCCTGCAGGTTATATATATATATAAACGCTGATAAACAAAATAACAATTAAAGCATGGGAATCTATGTGTACTTGGTATGTGGGACATTGCTATTGTCATACATATCCAAAAAAATTTGTAAAATACATGGCAGTTCTCAAGTTACTAAAATTTGTGGTATGAATAATTAGAAAGTATTTGAAGCTTGTGATTATACAAAATTGTTTAAATGATTAGAGCAAACATTTTATAAAAAAGTTGCTTATAAATATTTTTAATTATTTCTATTTTAATATGTGTGAATTGTGATAGAAATATAATTTACATCAATTTGTTGTCCTTTGAAATTTTTTTTTAAATGTTTTTTTTTTTTTTTTCTTTTTTTCACTTTCCTGCTTTGTAAAGTTGTATTTCTTCTTTGCAAAATATTCGTTTGAAATTCTAAAACTGTTCTTTCAATTTTGCAGCTTGTTACCTCTGGAGATGATAATAAAGTTTTGGTTTGGAAAACTGCTAACTTAGAAAGTATTACAGATGACAGTGAGATAGTTTCATCTTGTGCCTTATATTCTAAAGGTATGTCAAAAATGGTATAAAAGTTGTTTCTGTTGCCTAAATTCTTCTAAACTCCTAAATTTATTAATAATTTCTTTAGTTTTTTTATCGATTTTTGTTCTTGTTTTATACCATATGACTTTTTGGAGGGAGGGACAGATAAGATTTGAAATGGATATGTAAATTGTTTCATATTTCTACAGATGGATTTATTGCTTATATTTTTTTTTATCCCACTTTTCAATGGCCACATTTCAAGAAGGGCAAATGGTCCATTTTTAATTCAAACTAAGTTTTTAATAGGATGAACCATAATTTTTTATATTCTTAAAAATCATAGATTAAATATGTCAAAAGTAATTAAATTAAATATCTTTCAGCTGTTATATAAATGAATTTGAGTATAGACAAATTTATTAATAACAGTTGAAGGATGCATAATACATGCAGTCAAATAGCAATTATGGAAACTTCATGTTAACCCGCGAGAACTTGCACCAGATATGATGATCCATTTTCATTCAACATTTTTTTTTATTTTGTTCATTCAACATTTTTGTTATTAGTTTTTCAGAAATTTGACATAGTGCGCAAATTTTTAAAATTTGCATATTGAACTGTGCCCAAGTAATTGAGGGTGTATTTTAAAAGAAAATGAGTCCAGGTATAAAATACGAGGGGAATTTTAGTATCATAGTCAGATACTTTTCTCCTGGCAATTTAGGAGAAATTTGGAATTTTGAATCCCCTACCTCCCCCCCAAAAAAACTTGGCTAGTTGGAGGGTTAAGCTTTCTGGTAATATATATTAATCTAAAAATGACCTTGCATGTATTTTTTATACATATATTTATGCAATTATACAATATTTATGCAATTATATATTACTTTATATATTTATGCAATACACATGCACAGTCGAACTTTGCTATAACTAACTTATGGTTGGACATATGCAGTGATTTGCTGTATCCAACTTGATAAGAAAAGTCGATTATATGACAAAAGTATAAAAACGGTGTTTTTATATTTTTTTGAAAACAAGTAGTAAAAAATAATGATGAATTCAAATTTTGTGAAGAACATCCAAAAGAGAACTTATAAGGATAAACAAAATTTCATTCTCTTAAAGATAAATGATTTTTGTAACCCAAATTCATAAGATTCATTACTTCCTCTTTGAGTGGCAAAAATTTAAAATTTCCAACATAATGTTAGCCTTAAGTAGAAGTCTGTCTGATAACTTAATCAAAAGAACCCACTTACATTCTTTGTTTTAGTGGCATCAAACTGGCAATCTTATGCGCCCAGAAATATATTTCCTGTAAATTAATTAGCATTATTTTGACAAGAACTGAAGAAAAAGTTTAAGATTTTAATGGTATTTAATCCAATTTTACATTATTTTCATCGCCAATGATCGTAAGTAATACTCGGGAAATTCTAAAATTGGAACCAATTAATTTACACTTCAATGTAAATATTAATCAAAGGTCTGAAGGTACAGATTTGATTAACTTAAATTAGTTCTTGTCAAAAGATAATTACCTCAATTGTATAGTCTCCTTTTCTGGGAGCACATTTACATGGGAACAGCTTTTCCATAGTTGAAAATTAACAAGTCTATAAAAATTGACTATGAATATCTACAATTTGTGATGAAGATACTTTCTAGTAATTTTATGAAAATGGAAAATGCCAGTGAGGTGTAGCTGAAAGATGTAATAAGAAATAAAGTTTATAATTAGATATAAATATATACATCATAAAATACATTTTATACATACATCATAAAATATGTAATAAATAAAAGAAAGATGCCTTTCTCAGGAAGTTTTTGTATAATTTATTTTAGTTGAATTTAAAAAAGTAAGTTATTTAATGGTTACTATAATATATTAGAATGATATGAATAAATATCAGTTGAAAAAATTTTGATATTTAGCTGCCACTACATTTGGATTACAAAGTATGAAAGTTATAAATTTCTTGCAGGTACCGACCTTTAGATTTCTGGCAGAAAATAAGTTTAAATATGAGTTTTTTTTCTTGCCTCATTTTTATATGTATATTTTGACAAATTGTAGCAAAAAACTTTGTTTTCTTACATATATGTTACCGGCAATGTATAAAATCCAGCATTTGTAGAATGCCTAGACATTTTATAGAATGCGTAAAACTGGCCGGCAATGTATAAAGTGATTAACACACATTGCCTAAGCATTTTATAGAATGCCAAATGACAAACTGGCAATGTATGAAATACACGTGCAACTCTTTTCCAATAATTAACAGAAGTTTATAAATGATGTAAAAAGGCCAAAACGACTGCTAAGAGGAAACAATGGGATTATTAGTTGCTGAATCACTATGATGTAATGTGTGTTGAAAACAAAAGTAAACTCATTTATCCAGTGCCAGCTATTTCATGTTACTTGAATTCATTTGGCTGCTGGGGACAGAGACCATGACGGAATGTTGAAGAAACTTTAAACCAAATACATAAATGTTACACGGAATGATATTGAACGACCTTTTTGCCAGAAATGGGCATTATTGTAAAATCTAATGATTTTTCTGAATTTAATTTGCATTGTCAGGCAGATCCTGTTTATTTTCCAGTCAGATAGGGAATATAAATTTATTATGGTGTGGAAAGGTCATCTCACTAATTTTTATTTTATGCATTTAGAATAAGTTTTTTAATAGCAGTTTCATTATTTTTTCAAACTAACTTTTGTATTTTTCAGGAATGAACACATTTTAAATAATAACTTATCATGACCTTTTTTTCATACTTTGTCTGGAGTGCATTTGTCATTCTATAAAATGCCTAGGTATTATATGCGATGTCTAGGTAAAGTATATAATAATTCTCATATTTCATACTTTGCCTAAAAACACTAGGCATTCTATAGAATGCTGGTGTTTCATACATTGTCGATAACAGATATATATATGTATGTTTTAAAATTTCAGCCTGTAAACTGCTTTCAGATCGGGAATCTGACCCATGTACAGTTTTGAGTTTGAAACAACTGACATACACCACAAACAAAGAATGCCATGCAGTGTCCTAAGATTTGTTTATCTTGTGGTTGTACTTTTAAATTGGGTATTACACTTGTTTTGTGTAGACTTTATTTAGAACACCGAGAAAAGTAGGGTTGAACATAAATGGAAAGCAATGTAAAGGTATTTTCCTTTGTGAGTGTTAAATGGATCCTAACATTCTAAACGTGAATACTATTAAAGATAGTAATTTTTGCATTAAAACTTACAGAAATCCTAGAAAAAATATGATAAATACAAAAACGTTTCAACAGAAAATATCCATGTAGTTTGTTATATCCAATTTTCATATCTTTGGAAGTTCGCTCTTGGATTGTAAAATAATATTAAGTATATAAGAAATTAGACAGGACCAAAGTGTTTGTTTGTTATATCCAGGGATTCCTTATAAACCAGGTTCGTTATAGTTGAGTTTGACTATATTAGATACTATATTTACTTGTGTATTTTCCCCCTTTGCATATTTCCCGCTTCTTACTAGTTGACTTATTTGGGAATTTTTGGGTATATGAGTTCTGCTTAATAAAGCAATAATAGAGTAGAACTTTAAGAAAACAGGGATATCTAATACTTTTGATGGTTCTGAAGATCATTGCGCATGGGAAGATGATGATGATGATGGCTGGGAGTATGAATCAGATGACACAGACAGTTCCGGCAGCTATTGAAACATTTGAGACCTAAGGAGTAGCAGTGGACAACAATCAGAGGAGGTGAGATTCAAGATACAGGCAAATGGAAATTAAAATATCTTGTTAGATACTGTAATATTAATATTGTTATGTATTCTTATTGGAATATGGGAATAAAGTTTACCTATAATTTACTCGGGACGATAAATGCATCCACTTTCGGTTTTACACTGCACCATTCCACTGCATAGAAGAGCTTGCTAATTCATAATGAATGGCCGATTAATAATGAACATGCCAGCTTCACGATACGTGAATTTATTTTGCACACACACGTAAAAAATAATAATAATATTTTACAGAAGAGAACTTAGCAGAATATGCTGGTTCGCACACACCACACCTCTTCCTTTTGCCTCCTTCACTCAACTGCCCATCTTGTCGAGTTTCTTTTGCTGGCACTTCTGCATCGAAGTCCACATTTGGTGAAATTCGCCTTCTTGGCATTTATACATAAGTTTTGAACCTTCCACGTCCCTCCTTGGGAAGCGTATACATCTGCTTAGAGACCATACACACAGTCGAAAATCTAAGTTCGTTGTTTATGAATCGCTAAGTTATAGTAAGATTATATCAGTTTCATCATACCTGTTTCACTGTACATGGTTCAATGTACCGGTTTAATTGCATCCCTGCACACATACACACATACAAAGTCCTACCCTAAATGTGCCATTAATTTGAAGTATACAAATTAAATATACAAAAACCTTTACATACCCAATACTTATATATGATAATATAACAAAATTCTTAATTTTACATGTAACAACATTTACATTAAGACACACAATACTACATTAATTATTCATAAATATGTAATAATTTCTTTCAATACAATACAGCTATCAAGATAGCTAACAAAAACAATAACAAAGTTTCCTTTAAAAATATTATGGAATGACTTGTGAACATACAACAGGAATAAATAATCTGAAAAATGATGGCTCGGTATGAACCACACAACTCAACTCGCTAAACATATGTTGATGCAAAAGATTTTTTACATTCATGATAAAGAAATAATACACATATGATTGTCCTCTCTTCCCAGATATTTCATTTTTGTAGTAAATAAAATTTTATTTTTCAGCAATGTAATTATGTTCTTCACAAAATAATTTTCTTGTGTTAAACCCACTGAAGTACGACAAGTGAAAAAATGCAATATAATGGTCATTTGCTACAACTTCCAACCTCGTTGTAACTTTATGTAGTAGAAACGGTTAAAAATCTATGACAAAGGGAGGCCCAACGA